CAGCCACCAGTCTTAAGCCATCAATAATATTAGAATATGCTTCTAGGTTATCTTATTAAGATTTTTGTATCTCTGAATAAATCAATTTAATAATCATTTAAAGGTTTTTCTCATCCCAGATACTTGTTACCCAATTTTTGGAGACCATTCCGATTCTCCCTGTTTAAGTTGTAACCTTCAATGATAAGATTTTAAAAATAGGTCCTTCATACTACTATTGTCAAAAAAATGTCCTACTCATGCGCTCTACTGTCAGGGAGTCTTCATAGTATTCTTATTAGGGTCATGTTGAATATTAACGCCCCTAATAAAGGCTGTTTCCCTTGAAATAGAGTGGTATCTTTTTCGAGACATTTTACATCTTTGAAATAATATACTTTCACTTTAGAAAATATCAATATTCTCGAATCTATACCACACAAAGTGTGCTACTTTTGTTAAAACGCCTTTTCAAAACTACCTCGTTCAAAGTTGTTATTCCAATTTCTGGTAGACTTTCTTAGAATGAATCTAAATGATAAGAGAAAATAAGGATCATAAAAAAGTTCAAATTAATATTTGATTATCGAATTCCCTATAAATTGATTAGAACAAAAAGCCCTTAGTAAGCTATTTTACTTCAAATATTCTTAAATTGATAGAAACTATTCAATTAATAGTAAGGAGAATTCAAATTCATCATTACAAGAGGATCTTGATTTCCATTCATTTGTGAACATCGTATAGTTAATTCAACCTTCAAACATACTTAGGAATTTTATTTAAAGTGGACCTAAAAATTCTTAACCGATTGAATTTGATTTTCCTGTTTCATTGGATTAAGCGAAAATATTGCCATAATTTTCTGCTTTAAAATTTTAACAATATAAGGTCAAATTGCTGATATTTAAAATTTAGTTTTTGTAATAGATGGTCCAATATTTTAGGTTGAATTGGTTTAAAAATATAAAATGGTTTTGTTGGAGACCAAGTATCTACTATTAAAAGTAAATTCTAAGTAATTGATAAATAACAAATACCATTTATGATGTCTATGAAAAAATTTAAATAAATATTCTTTTTTTTTCTTAATTTGAAATAAATAAGGGCAATCTTACTAAATTGTAATCATAAATAAATTACATTTATTTCGTCAGAAGTTCTAGATTAACAGAAAGCACAAAGAAGTTAGCATGATTAACAAATTCCATTAATTTATACTCTTTGATTCTACTTATAATAATCTAATCGGCATTTATAACAAGAAATTAGTCTGCTGGATTAACCTTGCAATCATAACAATTTGAATCGCAATATTGAGCACAATATTTGAATTTAACTAATTAATACCCTTCCCGACATGAGATTGCAATTTCATCTCTCTAAAAATATTATAATATTGGATAAAAATATGAATTAGGCAAAAACGAGCCCATAAAACTCTAAATTCTTTACACCCATGCATCTTTTACATATGAAATTTTCTTCTATACTTATCGATTATTATGGCTTTAAGCTTAATTTGCATTAGCCATTGACTTCAGATGTTGATGCTGTGTAACCTTCTTAACATAAAATCATCTAAAGACTACTATACAGTAATTAAACATTAGACTTTACACATTGCACATCCCACTTAAATATTATCATCTCCATTGAATTAATTGAAGTTAAGATAAAGAGTTGTTAATGTCAAATCATCAACTGCATATTCAAAACAATATATGCAATCTTCAATAGAGCATATTTTACATTCCTTTGTTGAGGATAAGTAATATGCTGATATACAATTATTTTCTTATCTCTAGCCTGCAGCAACCATGGTACACTAACCATCTTCTAAACTCGAGAATTTCTCACAATAAAGACAAACTTATCCTGTTATTAAAATAGTGCAAGTCTTGCAAGAGGCAAATCTACATTTTGAACATGATTAAGATGAAATTTAAGAAACGCAAAATGATTTTAATGGTTCCTATTTATTGACCATGTCTTAATTTATATTCTCTAAATTTGTAAGGCTTGCTTCTTAACACTCCAAACAGAGTTCAAGATTAATACCATTAAAAGTGAAATAGGGTTTAGATGTAAATTAGTAATATTCTTATTCTAAAGAAGTTGTTCTTCCATCCTGATTTAGGTACTCAACTGTATTACAAAATGGATAATTGTACCAATCTCTTGGATTTTAAATGCATTCAAAACAGGTTGTAATTTATGAATTTATTTATCCTGGACTAATATTTTAATTATTAAATATTACCATTAATATCATAAACCATTAAGCTCGAATTGTCCATACATGCACCCATTATATTATTCTTTGCCTGTAATTAACTAAAAGCCAAAGTCAGGATAACCTAAACATTAATCATTGTAATCAATAGTATTTTAAGGACATATACACTATTTATATTCTTGAAAGTATATTCTTTTTGATTCTATGGAACAAGATACACAATCTTGATAAGTTGGACCATCGCATTCCCCACAAGTAATATGACAATTTTCTTATCAAAAGTCTTGATTGTAATTAAAAAAAATATAGATTCCTACTTACAATATTTATATAATTAATAGTAGATTTTTACAAATTGCCTAAAAAGAGCCTAAAATGTATCTAGTGAAATACTCATAATTTTACCTATTCCCAAAAAATTTGATATTGACAGACAATTCATCACCCTCTGATTGTACATAAATAAGATGCCATAACTTTATATTGTTCAATACCTGGAATTCTTTGGTTATTAAAAACGGGTCATTAGTAAAATCTAAAGTAACTGATGGAAATGTGTAACTATATGTTGTGATAATTAATTTAGCTTGTAAAATAGTAATGGAGATATGTTTTGGTTCTAAAATTATGTATTTTACATAATTGAAGTCAATATAATAAATTAAATTGTCATATCTTTATCAGTTTGAATTATTTCGTTAATATCAAACCATCCAGTAAATGTAAACTAATCGCAATTCTGAAATCTTGAAGTATAAATTGATGTAATAAGATATACATAATCTTTGTTTATCAAATTACTTGTTGGACACATGTACATATCTCCCAAGGTTTTCCTAATTAAATAGCAGAATCGGCAAAAACAATTGGCTTAATTTTGCCTGGAAATGAAGCAAATTTATCTCCATTGATAATATTAAAAAATGTGGAATCTACAACCACAAAATCACCTCCAATTTTTTAAATTGTCTTATAATCTTTCAAAGGTAAGACATTCAAAATTTCATTTTTCAAAATTTCTTCATTTTTAATAATTATTATTTACATTCTATTTTTTATGGAAATAAAATGAATCAAAATAATACCATTAATTTTGATATTCAAGAACATTTATGCTTAATTTAGAATTAAATTATTAATCATCATTACCCATAAATTTGATATATTTAGTGATGGTCATTTACTCATTATCCTAAAAAATCATAATATAACATTTTTAAAGTTTACGCTATATAAATGATAACAATTGCTATCTAGGATCCCAATAGAATGTGCCTAAATGATCGAAGTTAACAGAAGGAATTAAAACCAAGCACCCTGCCTGAATACTGCCTTTGCTTCATATTTTATTTCTGAAACCTCAAATTCTGTGACAACGAATGGCTGTTCAGGATCCAAGATAAATACATAATCAGTGAATACAGTTTTTAAGTATAAAGTAAGAAACAGAGCTTT